AACTTGTTGATAATCAATTTTTTCACCCAAGCAGTATTTAATATATATAAAAGGGGTGCAACCAATGTGGAAATGGTCCACCATGAAGCATACTCCAAAAAAGTAATGAGCTAAAGGATTTATACATTTCATGATAATTTATTATAATTTAATTATTGGTGATAATATAAAGTTTGAACCAATTGATTCTTCAAACAAAGGTCCTGATTTGTAAATTTCATCTAATTTATATGAAGAAACCAAGCTCCAAAAATTTCCAACTGTGTCTCAAAATACTCTGCCTGCATCCATTGCACTGAATAAATAAAAAATCAAATTAATTATATCAGCTAATTTCATTTAGCCAAAATTTCAATTAAATTATTAATTACCTTTCATTGATAAAATTAATTTTCAGTTTTGACAAAATTTTTTCATCTGATGCAGATAAGGTTGTGGGCGAAACCTCTTAATGACTGTCGAAACTCTGTCGAAACTCTAATGAACAATTAATGTGTAACCTGTTGAAACTCTGATGATTGGCGAAAACCCCAAATGCGAAACTCTGCCGAAACTCTAATAAACAATTAATGTGTAACCTGTCGAAACTCTGTCGATTGATTTCTGGAGGAGTTTCTCCCGCAACCTTAGATGCAGATTTAATCCATTTAATTAATTCTTGAAGTATGTTATTTGAATTAATATACATATAATTTTTTTTTGTGTTTAATATTGTAATTTTTATCATATATTTTGTACAATCTTTCAGTAAATTTCATAGAATTTGAAGAATTTTGATCTAGATCTTGATCATTTATTTTGATATACTGTGAGTGCTACTAGAACTAGAAATCCTGCATCATTCAAAGAGGAGTTGTTGTTTATAATGTTGTTTGAATTAACTTGCTAATTTAATAATAAAGGATTAATATCAATTGGTTTTGTTAGTTGGACCAATGTACAACTTTTTATTAGAACCAGCTACTCTAAAATAATTTAATAAAAGATTTACATACTTGTAAAATATAACCATTTGAAGGGAAAGATCGGCACCAGCAGGTTGTAAAATCTACAAAAAATTTGGTTTCACCAGGAAAAATAATTTCCTTAATAAATTTAGTTTAACTAAGTTTTTATTTTTATATATATAGTGCAAATCACTTCTCCTGCGACTTTTATTGGTCATGTAGATCCTTCAAATCCTCCAAAAATGGAAGTACAACACCCCAAAATAAATCGTGTTTTGAAGCCAAGACCTTCCTCTACAAAGTTACAATTTCATCTCGTTGATATGTCATGCTGTTGTGGAGAGTTTGTGTTTCAAATTTGCACAAGCTTACCGAATTTACTATGTTTAGCACTGAAATTTGTGCATTACACATAAAAAAGTTGATATCAAAAATAAATGAATTGAAACAAAATAAAAAATTGTCACGCGAATTTTCCAGATGAATAGAAAGAGAATTTATTTTTTTATATATATTAAAAAAAAAAAAAAATACAACATTTATTTCGAATTTAATAAATTGGCTATTGCAAAGAAATGTGCAAAAACATATATTTGCTATTTCCCAACTAGAAACCAAAAATATATTTCATAAATACATTTCAATTCTATTACTATTGTTTATGAAATGAGGAAATATCACATGACCAAACAGAAAGTTGTGTGACTAGGTGGCTTGCAATTCGCATATGTGAAATTCAAATTTAGCCGATCAAAATTTTCTAAATGATTACAAATTTGGCAAATACTGTTTTATACTTTCTGGCATTGTGAATGTCCAAAAGTTGCATTTGTTGCCATTAACAAAAATAAATTAACAATGAGAGTGGTTGGAATTAATAGGATTATCGATGAACCGAACCACTAAAAGTCGATTTTCGCTGTAAAATTGGTTAACCAAATCGTATTTAATAAAAACATTTCGTTGAGCCGAATTTTATTACTGTTATAATTTCTACTTGATAAGCCGAACTTGATGGTTTGTATAAAATAATAAAAATGTAACTTTCTATGCCGAATATGATCGTAAACGGGGTTTAAAATTTGTCTTATGATATTAACCTTAAAAATAGAGGTCGCACCCAATGAATAATAATAATAATAATATTCCAGTGAGAATGTTTCACAGAATAACTGATCAATATTTTGTGTAACCGAACGAAATTTTCTCATCCAATTAATTAAACTTAAAATGGAAGAAGAGCCTTAGTCACTATAATAGGAGAAAGTAATAATGGGAGGGGAGGAGTATTCTGCTGCTCATATTTTGAAGAAAAGGGTGTTCGAAGTCAAAGTTGGATATGGAACTTGATGGAAGAAATTGAAATTGTAAAAGATGGAGAAAAATCTAAGGAGCTTTTTGTCTGAAGTTTCTGATATTATTGTTCATTCTAATGTTATAATATGTGGTGGCGAATCTACATCTAATTTTATATTACACACTTATATGCCCTGTAAAAAAAACTGATCCGTGATTTAGAATTCCGTGTTTTCTCAGAAATGTTCATGGGAAAAATCATGGAATGATTACAGGGGGAAAATGGACTTTGCCAATGTTGTAAATTCGCGTAAATTTTCAAAAGAATTTCTGGGATTAAAATTCAAATAGCAAACTATATAGATGATGACCTCAAAAAGAACAAAACTTAATCCATTTTTATTTGAAAAGAATGTTTTTTTTGAAAAAAAAAATAAGAATGTAAATGATTAATTAAATAAATTTAAAATTTTCGTTAACATTTTACTGAATAATTAATTTAATGATTGAATGTTTTAATTACCAAATGAATAAATGAATAAATATTCAGTGGGTACAATTCTACCTAAAAATAACCATGCCATGTCAAGTTCAAATAAAAATAGTATGAAAATTACATTATTGCAAAAAAGAGAATTGTTAAAAAAGGAACAAAATCCAAAAACAATAACTTGCAGAAGAATTTGGAATTTATCCGAATACAATAAGTGATATTCTTGAAAACGGGTTAGACGACCTCAGTGTATAGAAATTGAAGAAGCACTAGTATTATGGGTCATGCAAGCACAAACTGCGAATTAACAATTAGTGGCAACATTCTTTTGAATAAAACACAAGGGCTTGCAAAACTTCTTAACATTACTGATTTTTCAGACTGCATCATAATCTTAAGCAGCATAACAAGCTAAATAGTGCTCCATTGAATCAACTTCCAGAAGAAATGGAAAGGTTGAAAATTTTAATTTCTAATTATTCACTTCATGATGTTTTTAATTATCTTATACTGGAATACAGAACCTTTGAAATAAAATTTCAGCCACAAGAAATTCAAAAAATAGAGTAACAATTCTTTTGGCATGTAATGCTACAAGTTGTGAGAAATTGGATCCATTGCTTATATATAAATATAAGGATCATCATCATTCACTTAATGAATGGTAAAAATAAAAGTGATTTATCAATTGGAATCAATCAGCCAATATATGGAATGGTTATCTACAAAAACTTTATAAAAATTTTTATTATTGGCCAATAATGCACTAGTTCACTCTCATGAAATTTTAGATACCAAATACTACTAGTCATTTACAACCGTGTGATGTGGGAATTATTCATTCTTTTAAAGCACAATATAAAAAAATTTCGGTCTATGATCGCATTGAAGCTTATGTGACAGCTCAGACATTAGAAATGCCAGTTGCACCAGTTATAATATATGATGCTATTTGTTTTGCCAAAAAGCATGGGGCTACAGGCAAATTAGTAATGGAAAATGAGGATATTATTGCATTAATTTGACAGGAATAAATGAGAAATAGGATGAAACCTTTATTACAGAAATTTCTATTACGGATACCATAATGGGTGTTGAAAATTTATTAAATTTATTAGTATACACTCCAAGTGATTTCGATGTATGCGAAGATGAATTAAAGTGGGTTCGTACTCTTATAAAAAAATTATTAAGACATAAAGATTAATCTTTAGATAAATATTTTTTGTTGGAATAATTTTTTTAAAACTTTATATTTTATAACATTGTAAGCTGAATTTATTTTGAATCCCAAAAAAGTTAAAACATTTTATGAAAATAGTGGTGCACGACCCCTCATACAAACATGTATCCTTTTTTTTTTAATTCAATTTTTTTTTTATATACATTGTACAGCATATGATGCGCGCATAAAGCGCTGCATATCACTAAATCTTGAATTGTTTGGTTTGCCATAACTATTGGGCGTACGTATGACTAACAATCTATTAAGGTTACACGCCCAGCCGTGTCCTGGTAAATAAAAGACAATGTAATAAACCAATTACCAATCACGTCGTGTGAATGAGATTTTTTTTTAATTTACTTATTTAGAATAAACCTTATTACCTAATATCGATCTATTTTTTTTTTTAATATTGTTAATATTGTTTAATTTTTTTACTTGTGTAATAACCTGGTTGCGAACCTAAATACTGGTTTTGTGTAACCGTTGATTCCATAGATTTCGAATGGATCAAGTTTGTTAGTCTAAATAAAGTTTCTACATATGATTGATTCATTTGGGATGGTATTACAGTTAGTGAACGTTAGTTGATAATCTTCATACATAATTTCTAAATTGGATAATAAATTTCCGCGTTACACTTCCTGGTTATAGAATAAAATTACCAATTTAGGTGTAAGGGCTAACATCACAGTAATGTTTAGGAAATATGGTTTATGCAGGTGGGATTTACAGACAGATCACTTGAAGGAATTGTCACCGCAAACAAAATTTAAACCAATCAATCGAAAATGATAAGAGAATAATCCATCGGAACAGGAATTAAAAAATCAAAATGATAAACAAAACTGATCTAATAAATACCTCCTCTTTTTTACCTTGTCTACATTTTTATTCTAACGGATTTTTGATCTAATAAAGTAAAAATTTTTTTTTTTTACCTTTCAATATTTTAAATAAACGACCAATAATATTAATAATATTGTCTTTTCCTCTTCCTCCCCTCCTCTTCTTTTTCTTATTAACTAGGCTATATAAAATGTCGGACACAGCATCAAATGACACAGAAACTGTTACATATGCGGTAACCGAGGAGCAAGGGAAAACTAATCTTCTGTTTTCATTAGTTGAAAGCGTAGTATCATTGGTTGCAGTTGCATTCGGAATTTTTGTGTATTTTTATATAAGATATAAATATCCCCGATTAGTCGACAGGGTAACGTTTCGACTCGCACTTGCTACAATGATATCAGACTTTGGCATTTGTATAGCTCTATTAATCAATTCAGCCTTTGGATCTCCCATCGGCTCAACATGTACAGGAGTTATCTGGGCATATGTATTTTTTAGTCTTACGTCAATTTTCTTCCCTACTTGCATTGCTCTCGTAAGTACATCTTTTATTAATCAACCAATCAATAAATAAATTAATTACTTTTATTTAAAATATTAATTGGAGATTGTGATCATGTAATTAAACAGAATCTACAAATCGTGTTCCTTCATGAATACAGGGGTAGATGTAAATTAGAAATGCTTTATTTCACAGTTTCGACTGTTTTAGCCTTAATTCTATCATTACTTCCGTTCGCCGATCACATGTATGCTTGGAATTATCCCGAAGGGTAAGTTTTTACATCTAATCAGTAATTTACTACGATATCATCATTAACTATGTATGTTAATATATATATAATCTTTACTTCATAATAGTGGATGCTTTTTCCGTGACTCGGGCACAAAATTGAGTATTACATGGCAATGGGGATCATTCTACGTTTGGGAAATACTTTGTATACTATATTGTATAATAATATTAATTTGTGTTGCGGTGAAATTATACAAGAATAGATCAGTAAACGCTAATATTAGTGGTCAAACAGTGACAAGTCAATATGAGAAGAATGTTTTAAGGAACAAGACCATTATGTCATTGGTGGTTAAAAAGGCTATATGGTATCCCATTGTGCCCATAATAACTCAGGCACCAAATTTTTTAGTTGAAACTGATATTTATGTTAACCAGAGGATCAACTATGCATTTTTAATAATGTCTAGTCTCAACGCAGCTCAAGGTAACTAACTAATAATAAAATTATGACACATGATTAGCAATTTATATTATATTATAAATATTTAAATATTTAATGATTTTTCTTTAGGTTTTCTCAATACCATAGTATTTATGCAAGATATCGCGGTTTCTAGAGCTTATAGATTAACGAAATTAAATTGGTGGTATAATCACGTTAATAAATATGAAGAGTCATATCCCCATTTATCGCGTAATAAAGCATTTGGTCCATTAGATTCGGCTGATCGGGTTGATAATGAAGCAAAAAATGAACAGAAACAACAAATTCAAAAACAACCTTCTTTTGGCGAAAAATTACGATATAATTTGTTAACCTTATTATTTAGTAAACCAAAAGGAGATGAAATGTTGACTGAATATGATCAATATATGACGGTAAAAAATGACGAAGAATTGGTTTCAACACAATCAATAAATGACGATGATGCAAAAGTAAAGGATGGCGAAGGTGCTATAGGTCAATTTAATAAGAATGTATTATGCAAATTGTAAAATATCATGTAATTTTATTTAAATAAACAAATATTTTTTATTTCTTATCTTTTTAATAAATGTAGCCTGATTTTGTCATAAAATGGTTTTTGTTCTGGTTGTGAACGAGTGAACCAAAATATTTATTATTATTTGGAGAAAATTTGGGGTTGCTCAAACCGGTTTGAACCCAGTTTGGATTAAAAAAAAAGCCCAGTTTGATCCTACAATTACTCGAGTTACTGGATTAATAATAAATAAATATATCGTAAAGCCCAGACCCCTTTTATTTTTACAACCGTGTAACAGTTTTTTCAATTGTTTTAAAGTGGTAGTATGAGTGGTATCTTTCCAAACTTTATGGTAATAAAAGACCAATGAATACGTTGCCACTTCCTATGGTATTTAATTAATATTAATATGGTAATTATTTGTTAATTTAACACAAGAAAGAAATTTATTGTTTGCCGCACGCACGATCTCTGTTAGCGCGAATAACGGTTTCACCAATTTTGTGTCGGCAATCCAGAATATGAATAAAAAAAATTCCTGTTTTTTTCAAACCTGTTTTTTTTGGGGAAAGAATTTTTTTCGTTGGGTCCCTCCATTCAGTTATAAAAATTCTATTACAAATGATTTCTAAATTTGTAGAATCTGTACCGAAATTTATACGCCATGTGAGTACCTATTATTATTATTATATAATTATCATATTTAAATTAGGATCCATTCTGATTAACAGGCGGTGAATTTTTTTTAGTTTTAGATGCGATAATCAAGATTTTTTTTTCAACCCGTTGTAAATAACTATTTTTTCTTTGTGGAATAACACGAATTTTTACTATGATACTGGTGGGTAATTTTTTAAAAGTAATCGTATATAATAAATATCAGGACAAAGAAATAAAAAAATTTTATTGAGGATGAGTGAAGTGGATAACCAGAAGGTAAAAATTATATAATAAATGAAAATATTTAATACAACATTCTCCTTTTCTTCCACTGCTTGCTTCAACAAAAATTGACAAATGTCACTCCGAGAATAAAATAAACAGGTTATCGTAATAAATATTTTCCTCTTCTTTTCATGTTTTCCTATTTAGAAATAATTTTCTAATATAATTCCCACAAAGAATATGTGATATATTATCTTGTTATTGTTTTCTATATACTACCATCATCCTTCAACTCATCTAGTCGATGGTCAATACTAACGCACTAGTATTTTTAAATTGGAACACGATCAAGCTATTTTTATAGAATTTAGTCTAATGCAGTAATACCGCTTACCTTGTGAATGAACTCCTTATTGGCAAAGACGGTAAAGGGATTAAAAAAACAATTTTATTTCAAGATTTAAGAATAATATGTAATTTGAAAACTACTTTTTAACTTTGCAAGTTTTTAAATGGCTTATGAAAATTATTAAAATCACATGATTTCCCACAGAATTCTCATCAAAAAAGCCTTTTCCTGGATTACTTTTAAACCATTTAATACTATATTTTTTTGCCTTCCAAAATAACCAAATTCCTTTTTATTTTCATTGTAATCATCAATACCGCATGTATAAATCCACCTTCAGTTAAATTTGCTCAAAAGGCATCCATTCTAAAATATAGTCTAGCAAAGATGATTTCATTTGACATTGTTGAATGTCAAAGTAGCGAAAGAGTATATAATTGTAAATTAATGCAACCTTCCCAGAATATATCAAAGTATCTTATTTATTTATACTCGTTACATTCTTTTGGTTTGTCCTCTTTATTACTTGCATTTCTTAATTCAATATCATAAATAAACTTTTCTTTACAATATCCATTCTCAATGAAAAAAAAATCTTATTTTTCACTTTTTATATCAAAATTAATTATAGCATTATTACACATTTCGCTATTGATTTTATATACAAATCTCTTTCTTTCTGGTGATGTTAATGATAATAATTTATTTATTATGTGACGTTGTATAAAATTGACTTGATGTTTTAATGAACTGTTATACTGAAAAAACCCCTCCCCCGTTACATTACATTCTTTGAATGGCGTCTAACCAACAATTTTCTCGTAATATTATTCGTGATAATTAATTACCTTCAACTTTTTCTTAACTGATAAAGATTTAAATAAATCATTTATTATTTAAAGAACAATTTCAACATAAAAAAAAAAATATCAAACGTGATCGATTCGTTGTAGCATTCTTTCTTTTTCTTTATTTTCTATTTTGACACTTTTAAAACTTCAAAAGTAGAACTTGCAAAAACATGTACCAAACCTGTCTACGTACCAATATTGACCTGCATATCACTATGCGTGTTTCAAACTCGGGCGCTCAAGCACGTTTTATTTTATTAACTGTGTATTTACTATTACGCATAGCTAACTTCAAAAGTCAAATCATCAATTTAACACAATTCTATTAACCCGTCCATGTGTGTTTCAAACCAGACACTAAAGACAATTCGAACGCGTTTTGATTTTTTCATTTTATGAATGTAATAATAAAAGAAGAGATATTAGTAATAGTAACAGTTATTATAATTGTATCGTAATAGTTAAGAGAATATACGGGAAAAAAAATTTTAGCCTCCATACTAATTAATTATTGGAGCTACGAAGTTTTTTTAAAAAAAAGCCCAATGAATAATTGAATATTTATGCTTTACGATTTTATTGATTTCTTTGTTTTTTACTGTCTCGCAAAAACAAAGTGTTGTATAGAAATACCCAATGTTAATATTTAAATATTTAATATAAAGTATTTAACATTAGACACACATCAAAAAACAAAATGAATATTATGATATCACATTTGCTTTTTTTTTTTTAACGTGTTTACACCTCTCTAATTTTTTAAAAGAAAATTGTCTTTGTTAACACAGATAACGAAAAGAAACCAAGATTCGTCTACACAATCGTAGGGGCATTTTTTTGTTTTTTACCCCTACAATTGTGTAGAATATATTAACTATATTCTAGTTTAATTAATAATCAATCCAATAAATATATTTCATACACAACTGTGGTGATTGTCAATTTGGCATGTGACTAAATCAAAAACCTTGACTTCCTATACTTGCCCAGGGAAACAGTGATAATTCATCAGAATTATCAGACGAACAAGAATCAATTTTTGACACGATCGTTTATCAACAACAAATCACCTTTTTCACTGGAGCTATATTTTTATAGTTTATTACCATTACCATTGTTGTTTATAAAACATGATGGTATTTATTATTGTATTAGGGACCAGAAAAGTTTTTATTAACAAGAGTAATTTCACTATTAAGAACATTTATGGTAATGAAAAAGTAGTTATGACGGCTACAACTGGCATAGAAGAACTTAACATGGGATTGATCATATTGCATTCTTTGTTGGTGCATGATTGAGGACTAATCAGGCGAAAAGCTCATCAAATGAGATTAACTATTCAAAGAATAATTTCGTTAAATAGAAATTCACCAAAGCACCAATAATTGATGAAAGCGAATTTATATTTATTTATTTTATTGACACATGTTAACGATATAATATCAATGTTTCATGCAGAATTATTTGCAACGTCACCATTTGGTAATCTCTCTTTTTTTTTGACTTTAATATAAAAAAATTAATTTAACAATTCTTCTAAACCATTTAATATCACCTTGTACTTTTAGAAGATTTTTTGCAACTATCAACTGTCCCTTCTAAACGGTGTTAATACCAAATTTTGCTTCAATGCAACATCTTGGAACTGATGTATAAATGTAAAATTACAATTATCAATTGTGTTATCAGCAGTAAATCCATCTACATTCATATGTGTGTGTTTAATGAATGATCCAATTAAATTTCTTTTCTTGGAAATATTAAATGAAATTAGGTTAGGTCTCATATCTCAGGAGGTGTTAGATATTATAAGCGAATAAATTGATAAATCCACCAAGTTATCCTGATGAGAATTCGGGCCATCTAATTGTAAGTTACATCCGTATTATATTATATACATTGTAATTGATGAAAGTTATTAGTGTTGGTTTTTACCATGGTAAAAAACAAATCATGGGTAATTACTATGGTAATTATCATATATAATATAGACAATTTGTTGTGTTTATGTATGCGTCAAACTTTTCTAGATGATTAAACATACGTATGCAGAACATGAGTTCTGACAAATTTTTATACACAGTTGAAGGAAGTCAACATGCTTCTTTTGATCTTAGAAGCAAAAAAATGAGCTTGGAATGGGAGGAGATGACCTACACAGACAAGCTTGTAGTTCTTATGGAAAATATATTCCAATGATACGAGGTTGTGAGAGATATCTTAATCCTTGTTTTCTTTTGCACCTTGCTTGGGATCTCTGGAGCTGTTTTTGGGGAAAAAAATTATAATTGAGCCTCTTACTTCCATGATACCTTTGTTGCCTATTCTATGCCACCATGATCACCTCATAAGCATCCTAATCATGTTTGATGCATTAAAAGCTGGGTTGGCTGAACTAAAACTTATTATGACTCAGTGGGACCAGACCAATTGGATATTGAACAACAGTCTCATTTTCCTTATCCACACTCCTTCAAAAGCTGTGATAATAAAGATTACCAATTTATTTATAAAAAGCAATTGCATGAGACAAAACTTTTTTTTCTATTAGAAGAGGTACAACAAGACAATGCAGAAAATAAAATACCCCAACAGTGGGTTGTCAAATTCATGCAAAATAATTATGGTAAAGAAGTTCATGAATATTGTTATCAAAAAAACTGGCACCAAGATTATTTTCTGTTCTATTAATAATAATAACAACTCCAAATTTTTTCTAGATGAATATATATAAGAATCTTGCCAACTTAGTCCCAATATTCTTAAAACGAGTAAAATTTCAAGCTATATGAATCTTACAAGTAATAATTACATAATTCATTTTTATTATTGCATTATCAATATTTATTATAATTATCGTACATTAATGGAAAATAAAAGTATAATTGTAGACCTTTTATTACTATCAATCAAGAAACATGTGTTATTAACAGTTTCAAAAATAACAAAATTGACGAAAAATCTTCTGAGAAAGAAAAAAAATCTGTGCTATTTGCCAAGCTCAACCAAACAAAGAGCAGCTCGAAATGTTAATAAACTTGGAATTAACATCTCCAAAGTAGTGTAAAAGAATCTTGAGTTGAAGAAAAGACATTTATATTAATACAATAATCTTGTAAATTTATCTTATCTTTTATCTTCTGCCATTTACACATATAACAACAATAATAAAATACCAGTTATAAAACAAAATTCTACATAAATTTCAAGGCAGTGTAACTAAATACCCAAGACTAATCAGGGATTAGTGAAAAGATTTATTGTTGGGAACGAACTAAATCTATAACAGTAAATTCATACTTAGGAACAATGATTCAAGATTAGAATAATTTTCGCATCTAATTGAAATAAATAACTGCATACATTACTATTACTAAGAATTTTTGGAAATAAATCACCATTCATTTGCAATGCAATGTCACATAATCTATAATGACAACAAATTTTTGATGATATTTATATTCGATACATAAAAAAAAAATTTCATTTGATGTTTATTATTCAATTTAGTTTAAAGGAAGAGGATAAGACAACAAAGGTGAATATGTAGTTGCGAGTATGAAGAAAAGAGATAATGACAATTTGATAAATTATATGTGGACCTGGACACTTTACCGACAATCAAGTAAGGTTTCTAGCCCAAACTGTTTCTCAAAGCTCGAACTATTTTGGCAATTTGGGTTTTCAACATTTTTTATATTCAAAATCATTACTTTTTTTTTCATAAAAATTCAAGAAATTATGTCTAAAAGTATTCAAATGCAAGAGAAAAGATTAATTATTTTATTTATTTAAAAATTAGAAATAGATTCATCACAATTATATAATAAATAAATTAAATGTTAATAACTAGAGTAATGATGAGTGGCAGACGATAACCACTACCACCATCCTTATTCTTAAAACACTTACCCAGTGATGTTTTCTTGATCATTTTCTTGTCTTCTTTTATTGTCATTGCTTTTATTTGGCATTTTTAAAAAATATTTTTAAAAAAGAAGTTTGTTATTTGATTGGTTTTTTTTTTTGGAAAAACAAAAAACAATTTATTTTTTGACAGAGTCCAAGGTTAGGGTGTCCAGGATTATACTTTTTTTTTTTACAAATTATTGGGGTGTGCGACATTCTAAGAAAATCAAAACTAATTAATGTCATATATTGATTGGTATATGTAAATTTTTTTTAATGATCTGCATACCACATATATATATAATTTCCGAAATTTGCAAGAAACATAATAAAATGTGCAGTTTTCAAATTGTTATTTCTTCCCCAATTTCAACGATATAGGTATCAAATTTGTATGAAAAGATAGTAAATAAATAGTATTTTAATAACTCAGAGAGTTATTTGTGTTTTAAAAGGTTCAATATTGTAAAATATCCATTCGAAATTTCCTTTATTGCAGTACCTTTTGCTCTATTACAACTTTAAAAAAAATATAGAAAATTAAAATATTCTCTCTGTATGAGTATTCTACAGATGGTTTTACATCGAAGCAATTTAATTTTTTTGCAGACGGACAAGTTTTGCACAAGAAATAAGAGCTTAAAGTTTCCGAAATTTGCAAGAAACATGTAATTCTTATATATAGTATCAAAATTCATAAATAAAAAACTTTCGTCACACAGAAAAAAAGGGGGTTACCATAAAAAAATCCGCACATATAGATTTATCTTATTGACATTAATTAGATTTGTCAATCAACCAATATCGAATACCCCAATAGTTGAAGCATTTTTTTGAATTTCTAAATTTGAGGAAATGAAAAGGTCGAAAGCAATAACTTTAAGAATTAAAAATACACAAGGTCAAACTATAGTTGGAGTACTTGAAAGAAAATTTGATGAAATTAATCGAAACAAACTTGGAATTATTTGTCATGGAATTTTAGGTTAGTTCTGTAAAAAATAAACGCATATATAGTAATAATGTAATATATTATATTATATTTATGATTCAAATACTATTATTTGTGTAAATATATAGAACATAGGAATTATATATATCAAGTAAAGTTAGCCAAAGTGCTACCATTTGATACATTTCGATTAGATTTTCGTGGAAATGGAGAAAGTGATGGAGTACCCAAATTTTCAAATATTGAAGAAGACGCAGAAGATATAATTACAGTTTACAAATACTTGGAAAAAGTATATGGTTATTCATTATATACATTAATAGGACATTCAAGGGGTATTTTCATATAACTTTAATTATATCGTTTATTTATTTATAAGGTAGATATTAATTTATAATTAATAATAAATAATAAAGGAGCACTAGCAGCGTTATATTATGCATCAACCATAAATTTAAATATTCCATATTTGGTGCTAATATCAGGACGTTTTAGGATGCAAAGTTTAATCCAACGATTTAATAATGAACAGTTGAGAGATTTGGAGAAAAAAGGATGGACTAACTGGACTTCAATAAAAAATGGTAAAGGTTTTGCAATGAAAATTACCAAAAAAGAATTTGATCATTGGATGAATTGGGATACTACTACTCTTGGCAAGTAAATAATTATACATGATAGATTGATAGATTTATTTAAACATGTAATAATTTTAAATTTCAATAAAAAATTTTTTTTGATAGCTCAAAGAATTCCTAACTCAACATCTGTACTAGTGATTCATGGAACAGCCGATGAAGTATTTTTTTAATGTTTTTCATTTTCTTTCTATAATAAAAACCATTCAAAGTTTTATGTTTTAGTCAATTGATCATTTTGATGTTATATAATAGGTAGTACCAGTTGAAGATTCAGCAATCTACAATAATATAATTCACAATAGTACACTAAGGCTGATATCAGGGGCTACACATAATTTTACAAGGCATAAAAAAGAAATAGTTAATATTATCAATAAATATTTTTCACAAGAATATCAATCTTTCAACTTTTTGTATAAAAATCAATGGATCAGTCATATACCTAGATACATTCAAATTGATGGTGTTAGCAATTTTAGAGATTTAGGTGGATATAAGTGTAGTAGTAATGGTAGTGTTGGTATTGGTATTGGTATTGATGGTGGTTACAATCACGATTGTTATATTAGAGAAAGATATGTTTTTAGATGTGGAGAGTAAGTAATGTAATATAAGCATTATAATATATAAATTTACTTGTATATATCACTTAATATATCACTTAATATTAAGAAAAAACAATAACAAATGAGCTATTGGACATTCTTATAATTGGTAATTATTTCCGTTGATCATATTTTGATTTTATCACGCAAAAAAGCAAATTTGATTGGCCCAAATAAATTACAAAAAAAAGAATTTTATTTTTTATGAAGCTTCATAAATTCTTGTGTGTATCTTGCTAACCCAACATTTAACCAATTATAAAAAAGTGCAAGTTTTACAAAGTATATATTGGAAGCAAATTTTTATTTGTCTTATTTGAGGCATGGACAATAGAAACAAGGCCAACATCTATCAATCATAAATAATGTTTTTTATTAGTGTGTACTTATCTAATATGTAAAAAATAAAAAAATAATATGTTTACAACTACCTTTTATGTCTCAAGTCAATCAATCATACAGCATCCATGTATAAATAACATTTTTTATTAGCATGCACTTTCCAATATGTAATAAAAAAATAAAAAAAAAATAATATATATGTATACATTTATGACTACCTTTTATGCCTTGAGTCAATCATGTATAAATAACATTTTTTATTAGTGTGCTTATTATTATCCCAATATGTAATAAATAATATGTATGTGTGTGTTGCTCTAGCACAATTACCTTTATGTCTAAAGAAATAAATGAAAAAGAATAAGAAGTGTAATTGAATCATTAATTTTTGCACACCTTGGTAAAATATATGTATACTTTTTGGAATTTTTATCTCTTATTTAGATCTTGCAATCTGCTGGATTAACTGGGTTATTTTAACCAAGCAAAGCTTTCAAAGGAAGGTATGTTCTTGCAAAACATTCTTTGTTATTTTAGTCATGTTACTTATGACCTGCTATGCTAATATTATTATGCTATGTGCCTTAAAAATTTTGTTTCTCATCTAATTTTTGATAGGACCAAGATCTGAGGAACTTATTTTGCCCAAACATAAAGAAAAGAATAAACAACTTATCAATATAAAAAAATAATATGCAAGGTGCATTAGTTTTTTGTACCGATTGCCTCTTTTTTTTACTTTAAAATAATTGAAAATTTCAGTTTCACAATATAAAAAAGATCAATGTTCAATTTTGCCACTTTGTGATAAATAGGATGTCCATTATGCTTAACAAAATGGGGGATTTTAATACAGTCGACCCCTCTAAGTGTACACTCTGTAAGTGCACACCCCCTCCAAGTGCATGCTTTCATTCATTCCCAAGCTTGGGAATTAGAGATAAGTGCACACTCCCTTCCCCCTGCACTGCACGGTCTTTTTTCATTCTCATCTATATAAAATTCTAAGTGCACTCCCGTGACTTTCACGTGATCGTTGTCCAATAAAAATCGTGCGACGTTATTAAATTAAAATACTTTTTCTTTAAAGAATTGATTTTTTGTAAGAGATGATAAAGAATTAAATTTTATACTTAGTAAATAATAATAAAGAATATAAAGATTTATAATTAGTAAAAGGTAAAGAATTAAATTTATTAGTATGACAGAATTATTTTGTAAGAGGTGTTCATTTTTATTAAGTGAGTGACAGGGAAATAAAGAATTCTTTTTTTTTTCAATAGATACAAAGGTTATTAAAACAAAGTACAAAAATGTAGACAAAGAAGTTTATGTAGTTGAAATTATTATAAATAGGGCATGAATAAAGAATTTTATTTAATAACTAAAATCTTGTAACCAACTTTAAAAATAAAACTTCTATTATAAATTAACCTTATCATTAATAAATTAAAAATAATATATATTTTTACTCACTCATCTCATTAAATATTTTATCTTTTATTGCTTCTAAATAAAATGTTTCCAAAAAAGAGTAACTTTGTCTAATTCTCAAAAATATGAATTTTGTTTATTCTAGCCAACAAATAAAACTGGTTAATTCTCTTGATAGATATATTAGTTTGAAAACAATAAATACAATGAAGCAAACCATAATAGAATCTTATCTTAATCAATAATTATATAAAATTTTTTTTTAGTGATAATGATGTTATAATTAATTAATTAATAAATTTTTATTCTATTGGTGTCATGTGCAACCAATGAAATGCTTTGTTTCTCTAAGTGCACACCCCTCTAAGTGCACGCTATCACTCATTCCCAAGGGGGATGCACTTAGAGGGGGTTGACTGTATATATTAGTGATGTGATCTGTGGGTATCCATCATCCATCAATCTGTCATTTACCTCTATACAGTCTAACCTTGCCACAGCGGATTTCATCACAGTGGATTTCTTGTCACAACGGATTTAAGTATTGGCCCCTTTTTTTATTAATTAAAAAATATTTGTCACAACGGATTTTATTAATAAACTTGCGTCACAGTGTTAACGGGTTTTTGATGGTGATCTCTCTATATGTCTACTAATCTCACCACAGCGGATTCACGTGACATTCAAGTTATAAAATTATCCAAATTACTAAAATTGATAAACAAAAAATTTTTTTTTCCACAATTAATAAAATTATTCACGGATTTTTTAATAACAATAGATCAAAATTTTTCGTTTCTAAAAATTTTAAATAAAATAATAAAACAATTAAATAGATTATTTGTTCAAGTAACAAAATTTTTAAATTCTAAAATAAAATAACAAATAAACTATTAAATAGATTATTTGTTGTAGACAAATAAATAAATGGGATTATTATCCTTTATCAAAGATTCATAATTTTCAAAATGTATAAATTAAGATGAAATTGTATTATTAAAACTATAATTAAAAAATAAAAAATGTCCCAACAATCATCCTCCTCTAAAAAATGTGTATACATTACTGCAGAACAAAAACGCAAATTATGTAAATTAAAAAAAAATAAACCTGAACCAAAAAATATTGAACTAGCAAGCCAGTTTGGAATCAGTACAAGTCAAGTTAGTGATATATTAAAAGATTCTGAAAAATGGCTTAAAATTGATCCAGACTCCTATCAAGCAAAATTAAAAAGACCATCTATTGCCCAATTTGCTAACATTGAAGAAGCTCTAATTTTGTGGATTGAAAAGGCCCTTGAATGTAATTTGACAATTACAGATCTTATTATTAAACAGAAGAGTATAAGATTTGCAGAATTATTAAATATT